GCAGGCTTTCCTTATACTGTATACTAGTCATTTTCATAATGATTATCCTTCTTGTGAGTCTGTTGTAATTTTTGCATTTGGGGTCCTGTAAGCCACTTATATTTGATTTTCCATTTCATTCTTTATGTTTAGGAAATTTTATGATATTATTTCTTTGAAAAGATTGTGCATTCCTTTGGTTTATATCTCCATTTCTTACTCTGTCCTGATAAATCTTAAATGTGGTCTTTTCATGCTATCCCATAATTCCTGGAAGTTCTGTTCATGGTTTCTTACAATTTTCTCTATTTGGTCAACTTTATTTTCAAGGTTATATATTTTGTCTTTGTTGTCTGAGGTTCTATCTTCCAAGTGGTCTAGTCTGTTGATGATACTTTCCATTGAATTTTTAATTGGCTTATTAATTCCTTCATTTTGAGGATTTCTGCTTGGTTTCTTTTCATAATCTCTCTTTATTGAAGTGATCTTTGCCTCCTGAAATTTATCTCTGATTTCATTCCTTTATGTCATCTTCAGTACATTCTGATCTGTTTCTCTGACATTTCTTCTATTGTGCTGTCAATGGATTCTATTATTAGAGCATCTTGGTTTGTTTGGGGTTCTTTGTCCCCTTGTTTCTTTATATTGTTCATATATTTTCCCATCTAGCAGTGCGGATATGAGGTAGTATAGTTTCTACCATGTATACTTGTAGCATTCTTTAATGTCTTCAGTACCTCATGTTTAAGGGGTAGATTGATACTAACAGTATCCAATACAAACAATATACAGCCTTAAACCAAATAACTCCTATTAAGACATTAGGCACTTCTCCCACATGTGGTCCTAAGGGCTGAGCACCAGGACCTGTGCACCTATTGAGGAGACCTGTTCTATATCAGGCAGATCAAGACCAGGTGCTGAAAGCTGCGGGTTGGTCACATAGCTGTGAGTTCTGGGCTGGTCTGGAGGCTAGGGAGAAGTTAGGAGAGTGAGGGCCCTATTGGGTGCTGGACTGATGCCAGACCTGGTGGGATCAGGGGATGAGTGGATGCCAGACTGGGGAGGGAATCAGGGACCAGACTGGTGCCGGGGACTGGGCTGGTGCCAGGGCCCAGAGACACTGGCCTGAGTAGGCCCAGGGAACATGGTGGGTGCTGGACCAGATGGCTGGGTAAACCAAGAGCAAAATGTCCTCACAGCTTCATCCTACCCTCTATCCACTGTTGCCACTCCCGGCCGTCCCTTGTGCCCCAGAATCTGCTGAGCTAGGAAGAGCCTGACTCTCTCCCACCTCTGCAGCACAATGGTGGCTATTACCACACCTAGCAGGAAGATCTCAGGTATAACCAAATTTGCAAACACCTCAATAATGAACCTCCAGGCCCCGGTTGGCGTCCCCAGATGGAGGAGACTGCATCCTGAGATGGTGTCAGAGTCAGAAAACTTGCAAGCACCCCGATACTGAGTCTGACCCTGGCCGTGTTCCAAGATCGAGGCTGTCACATCTTGAGATGGCAATGGCGAAGGCGGCAACATGCCCCAAGATGGAGGCTGCCTCATTCCGACATGGGACAGAGCTGCGGTGGCCTCAATTTCATTCATCTTTACCTCTTACAACCATGTGTACTGCCGTTCACTCCCCTTTTGCCCACCATGACCTCTAATTCATCATTCTACTATCTTTTCATTACCTTTCACCACTTGATGTCATCATTCTTTCTCCAATTTAAATGTGTATGGTTAGGGTATCTTGAATCTCACAGTCTCTATATCTGAAAAAAAGAAACCATAATCTTGGTTAAATGTAATCTCTTGCTAGTCCACCTGAGCTCAATAGCTGAATGGGATTTACAAAAATCTTCCCTTAACGCATTTCACCTGCAAATTAGCATCTGCTTCTTTGCTCCTTTTAGAAAGAAACCTCAATGGCCTCAAAATACAAGTATAGATTATTTATGAATGAAAAGAAATAGTAGTTCAAAATAATTGCTTCAAAATAATTTAGTAGGATAGGTACAGAGTGGGTGGGGAAAAACATAGGTTAAAACTTTTTGAATCTGAGTGATAGGAACAGAGCATTTCATTTTTACTACTCTATTGTTATATGCTGGAAATATTCCATACTGTGAATTTTTTTAATGTCTATAATTGCTGCACTAATTCCTCTTCTCTCTTTCATGTCTAAACCCACTCTGATCAGACTTTTGCTTTCAACACTTTATTGGACCCACTGTTCTTCAGAGTCACAGTGTTTTTTCAGTGCCAAATTCAACAAGCAATTTTTCCTATCATCTTTTCCCATCAGCAGTGTTTGAAAGACCAACACTCCTATGTCACACCTTGTTGCTCATCCTAATCTCTTCAAGTGGATTCTATTGCAGGCATCACAACCTTATTTCTCTACCTTACCCATTAACCCCTTCTGGTCTCCTCTGCTGATTTGCTCTCTTTTTCTTGACCTCTTGATGTTGGAATACTCAATGTGGGCCTTGCTATTTACACTGCATCCCTTAATGATATCTTTTCAGACTTTATACCATTTTATGGCAGAAAATGCCTCACTCACAGTTTTCTATCTCTAGACCAGATTCTCTCCAAAACTCAAGACCTTCATATTCAGCTTCATATTCTACTTGACATCTCCACTTGGATATTTTCTAGGCATCTAAAACTTGTCATAACTGAACTTATCTTTCTCCTTAAACTTACTCTACCCAAAGCTGTCCTTGTTCTTCTGATGGAAACTTTATCTTTCCACTTGCTTAGATTGAAAGTCTTAGGTCATCCTTGATTCATTTTTTCTCCCCTCTCAAAATTAGATCAACTCCTATGATAAATCTTATTGCTGTACTTTCAGGGTATTTCCAGAATCTGACTTCTTCAAATTACCTTGACTCCTACAATCCTTCTGTGGACCAACTGTATTTCTCAACTGAATGACAACAGTAGCTTCTGTATTCACTTCCTGGAGTTGACATAACAGAGTTCCACTTCCTGGAGTTGACATAACAAAGTACCACAGATTTTTTAAAGAGGGCTTTAAAAAATCAAAAATATTTTCTCACACAATTATGGAAACTAAAAGTCTTGTATTGCCAGGGCTATGCTGTCTCTGAAGTATTTAGTGAATCTAGATTCTCCTACTTTAGATTCTGGAACTCCTAGCTTTTAGAAATACTGGGAATTTCTTGGCTTATAGATAAATTATTCCAGTCTCTGTGTCATCTTCACTTGGCTTTCTTCCTATGTCTGTTTCCAGATTTATGACTTCTTAGGGAAACCAACCATTGAATTAAGGTTGAACCTAATCTGATATCTCATCTTAACTTTGACAATAGCGCAAAGAATCTAGTTGACAAGTTTCAGGTGGACATGAATATGACTCATCACAACCCCCTAATTAAGTTCTCTTCTTACATTGTTCTTTTACATATATACTTAATACAGCCTGAGGCCTGAGTGATGCTTTTAAATGTAAGTCCTATATATGCCCATTTTAACGCATAGTAAAATTACAAAATTTGTATAGAGTTACCATGTTACCCCACAATTCCACTCCTAGTTACTTACTAAGGATAATCGAAAAAAAATCTAAGAAAAATCTGTACACAAATATTCATAACAACATTTCCTGTAAAAGCTAAGAAGTAGAAACAACCCAGAGAACAAATGGATAAAAAAATGTACTACAGCCATACAATGGAATACCCTTCAGTCCTAAAAAATAATAAAATACTGTTATATATTCTACCACATGGATGAACCTTCAAAACATTTTGCCTTTTAGTAGAAATGAGGCACAAATGGCCACATATTGTATGATTCTTTTTATATGAATTGTCCAGAATGGGGAATTCCACAGAGACTTTAACAGCATAAGAGTCTCTAGAGGGCAGGGAGAAAAGTGAATGAGGAATGATTTCTAAACGGTATGGTGGTTTTGGGGAGTGATGAAAATATTCTAAAGTTATAATGAGGGTAGCACAATTCTGTGAATATACTATCAATCACTGAATTGTATACTTCAGCAAAAGGAATTTTATGGTATCTGAATTGTATCACAATAAATCTATTATTAGAAATAGGGGTCTTTCCCCTGCAAATTCCCAGAATTTCCAGTGATTTTCATGGTTATACATGTCTCCTACTGCTCTTTCACCGGATCATTTTGCACCAGCCACACTAGTCCCTGCCATTCTTCAAATATGCCAGACAGTCTCCCAGTTAGTGCCCTGGAAATGTTCTCTACATGGAATCCCCTTCCTTAAAGACTGATTCTCTCACCATTGTACATCATCTTCTTATGCTATTTAATGTTGCTTGCAACCTGCACACTAAGTTCACATATACTGATTTTGACTTTTTTACTTCCACTTTCAAATATATCATAAAATTTACTTATCTCTTATTTCTTTTAGTCACTGTTTATTTTCTCTTTCCAATCTTTCTCTGTTTTGGCAAATGAAGTATCTTAAGTACTTAAATGCTGGCAAATAGGCGTTTCATACAAAGTTTTGAACAAACACATGATAGATTTCCCTTTCAAATATTTGAAGAACAAATTTTCCCCAGTCTCTTATTATGGAGAGAATACAATGGTGACTGCTACATAGAAAAATGGGTGAATGAAGTAAATAAATAACATTTTTTTAAATTTAAAAGTTTTGGTTCCTTTTGCTGAACCAGCCAAGAAGGTTTAAAGCTGTCTGGTACAATCTGATGTTGCAGAAATCATCATTCTCATGCTGAGGTTAAACAGTGTTTAAAGCATGTAAAATGGATTGAATTTTGGTTATGTTACTGTTACTGTGTATAATGTAGACAAGTCACATAACACCCCTGGGACTCAGTTTTCTCATACATGAATGGGAGAAATGCGTAGTATCTGCATCACAGATGTGAGAATCAAAATAGTTACTACCTTTTGAATGAATCGTTACTACTAGACACATGAAAAGTGATGAAAGAATATTAGCTGTTTTTATGTTAATCACATATTATTTTTATGTTTTTCACAGATTCTTCTTCCTCTTGTCAGAGTGATGGCAGAAAGAAGACTTATTAAAGAAGACGTTTATGTTGTTGTTGTTGAGGAATAATGGAAATGTTCAATGTTGAGAGAAAGTGCAAAAGAATAAATCTAATCCACAATAGAATTAAATTTATGTTAGTGTGAGTTATTCTATAATGGTTTTGCCATTCATTTTAGAACTTGGGTGCTCTCAAATAGAATCTTCATTATTGCAGCTATTCAAAAGCAATATCAAAGATGCTTGATATTTAGTACTATGTTGTATAGAAGACATAATAAGCTGGAAAGTAAGTCTAGATGCCCATTCAGCACAGAATCTATGTGGCCTCATTATCTCCATAGTAACTGTCATGAATAAATGGAAATAACAATATTTGAAAAGCAATTCCTATGTGAAAAACTTCCAGGCATGGTAGTGAAAATAGAAATTAGTCAAAGAAAATTATAAAACTCATGAATATAAAATGCTGAAAAATATCAGGAGATGTAGTTCCAAAGTGATAAATTTATACTATTTTTAAAACATAACTTCAAATATTTGAAATATATTTTTAAGTTGGAAAAATTAATATTATCCCAATTTAATACAAAATTATAAACTAAACTAATAGAAAATAAAATAGGGCCTCTGCTTCCTGGGACATGGAACAGACATAATTTTCCCTGTTCCCCTTGCTAAGTACAACTGAAGATCATGGTCGTGATACGTAAAGCAAACAGAGAAAGACTGCAAGGAGAGAAGGAGGACATTCTTAGGACCTCAGGAACCAAAGAAAGACACAGCTCCCTAAGTTTTCTTTTTTACCCACATACCCTAGGCCTGGAGCTGAATTCAGCATGCTGGAAACACCAATGGATATAGGTTAAAAATGACCTAACATAAGCTTGTTTTCTCTAACCAACAAAGGACCAGGAAAAGGATGTACTAGTGAGACAAAAACTTTCACATAATAACCGCTCAGGTTCAGCCAAACACCATAGAAAAAACTGTCATACTTATTCCTATTCTCACTCAGTGTAGATTCTAGACCTCTATTCTTGCTAAGCTGTAATGAGACTGTATATAGGGAGACAGGGCAGATATCCACCTGCTATTAATAAACCTTCCTCTCTTGTGGTGTCAGTGGATCCAAGGGGACTTGTATGCTGAACACTACACAACACTGATTAAAGAAGAGTAAAATAATTGGAGAAATGTACCATGTTCATAGATTGGGAGCTTGCTATATTAACATATTAGTTCTCAAATATGGGTTTAATGTAATTTCTATCAGTATCCAACAAAGATTTTAAAACTATATATGGATAAGGTTATTTTAAAGTTGATATGGAAAGGTAAAGAAACTAGACTAGTAAGAGATATTTTGAATAAGAATAAAATGGGAGGGCTCAGTCTGCCCAAATTTGAGGCAAATTATACAGTTTTGATTGTCAAGACTGTGTGGTATTGACAGAGACAGACAATGGAACAAGTCAGTGGAACAGGCTACAGAATCTGGAAATAGAGTCACATGCAAATATTCCCAATTGATTTTCAACAAAAGTGCAAAAACAATTCAAGCGGGAAGATAGGTTTTCAACAAATGGTGCTAGAAACATTGAACATCCATAGGCAGAAAAAGTAATTTAGACCCAGTCTCACACATTATACAATGATGAACTCAAAATGAACTAAGGTCTTAAGTATAAATTGCAAAACTATAAAACTTTTGGAAAAATATCTGAGAAAATATTTGGGAAACAGGTCTAGGTAAAGTGCTCTTATAATTGTTTTCAGGTTTCAAAATTTATTTATTTACAAATTACACTGAAAAAAAATCCACTTTGGGATGTACATAAATCGAGACTTTTAACCCTAGTGAGTGGTATAGAATGCTTATTGTTGTGACATTTCAAAAATAATTTGTAATGTCTCTAATAAAGCTTTTTAAAAATTGTGGCAAAACATACATGGAATTTACCATTAGTACCCTTTGTTACTTTCACATCTTGTGAAGCCACCACCAATAACTAGTATGAGAACAAAGAAAACTCTTTACTGTCTAAAAAGTCACTTACCACTCCCTCTTCCTCTCTGACAGTCACTAATATGCTTTCTGCATGAGTTTGCCTATTTTGGATATTCATATAAAAGGAATTATACAACACATGGCCTTTTGTGTCTGATTTCTTTCACTTAGCATAATGTGTTCAAGGCTCACCCATGTTGTAGCATGCATCAGTACTTGATTTCAAAGAGTTCTTATATTTGGGACTGAGGTTGTATCTCAGTGGTAGAGCCCTTGCCTGGCACATGTGAGGCACTAGGTTCGATTCTCAGCACCACATAAAAATAAGTAAATAAAACAAAGGTATTTTGTCTATCTACTACTAATTTTTTTTTAAAAAAAGAGATCTTGTACTTGGCATCAAAACAAGATCCATGAAAGAAGAAGTTTGTAAATTGGACTTCATCAAAGTTAAAAATGTTTGCTCTGTTCAAGAACTTTTCATCAAGTAGATAAAGAAACAAATTGCAGAGTGGGGGAAAATAATTGCCAATAACATACTAATTCAACAAAAGACTAGTATCTAGAATACATAAAGAACTCCCAGAGCTGAACAATAAAAAAAAAATAAAAGTTCAGATAAAACGTGGTCAAAGCATATGAAGAGACATTTCACTAAAAAGATTGATTGTCAGCTATCAATAAGGATTTGTTCAACATCAATAGCCATTAAGGAATTGACTAAAATCACAAATTAAATGATTATGAGATATCACTACACACCTACCAAGATGGCTAACATATAGAACAAGGTGGCAACACTAAAAGCCGGTGAGGATGTGGAGAAATTGGATCTCTTGTAGGTGACTGGTGGGATGAAAAGAGGTGGAGCCACTCTGAAAAACCATTTGGTAGTTTCTTTAAAAATTAATAATACCACTACTATATGACCCAGAAATTACCCCTATAAATGAAAACTTATATCACACAAAAAAGCTGTACATGAGTGCTATAGCAGTTTTAGTTGCAGTAGTTAACAACTGGAAAGAACCCAAATGTTTTCTAAAAGGCAAATAGTTATACAAACTGATATATCAATGTGTGTTACCGTGTGTGTGTCTGATTTATGTCACTGTGACAACATATCTAAGAAAATCAACTTAAAGGAGGAAAGATTTATTTTTGGTTCATGGTTTCAGAGATTTCAGTTCATGGTGACTTGTTCCTATTGGTATGGGCCTATAATGAGGCAGAATATCATGGTAGGTAGTATGTGGTGCAGCAGAGCTGCTTACTTCATGGTGACTGGAAAGCAGGGAGAGAGAAAGGGGTTGGGGAGAAGATAGAGTACCCAAGGGTATGTCCTTAAGACCCATTCCCTTCAATTAGCTCTCATTCATACAGTTTCCATCACCTCCCAGAAGTACCTCCAGTTATGAATCCATCAATGATGACCCAATCACTTTCCAAAATTTCCACCTCTGACATTATTGCATTGGGGACCAAGCCTTCAACACATGAGCCTTTGGGGGGCATTCCAGATTCAAATCATAACACTATGCAATATTACTCAGCAATAAAAAGGAACAAAAATATTGACACAGGTTACAACCTGGAAGCATATCTAGAGAATTGTCTTGAATGAAAACCTGAATGCAGACAAGTTATTTACTGCATAAGTCCATTCATATAATATTATTGAAATAATGAAATCATAGAAATGGATGACCGGGCACAGTGCCACATTCCTGTAATTCAAGCAACTTGGGAGGCAGAGGCAGGAGGATCACAAGTTCAAGGCCAGCCTCAGCAATTTAGCGAGGCACTAAGCAACTCAGTGAGACCTTGTCCCTATATAAAGTGCAAAATAGGGCTGGGGATGTGGCTCAATAATCGAATGTCCCTGAAATCAACACAAGATCAATCTCTGGTATCATCCCCCTCACCCCAAAATGATAAAATCATAGAAATGTAGAATAATGGGTTTCAGGATTAAAGAAGTGGTTGGGACAGGAGGAAAGTGGGTGTGACTACAGAATAACTTGGGCAATAATTTGTGATAAATGAAGTGTGCTTTATCTTGATTGTATTAACATTACTATTCTGGCTGTGATGTTGTATTATAGTTTTTTGAAAGGTTCCCATTGAGGGGAAACTGTGTAAAGAGTACCCAGGATTCGTTGATATTATTTCTTAGAATTGCATGTAAATCTATAATTGCCTCAAAAGTAAAAAGTTTAATTAGACTGGCACAGTGGTGCATGCCAGTAATCCCAGCTACTCAGGAGGCTGGGGCAGGAGGATTGCAAGTTTGAGGCCAGTCTGGGCAATATAGTGAGACTCTGTCTTAAAAAAAAAAAAAAGTACTTGGCATATAGCTCAGTGGTAGAGAAACTCCTGAGTTCAATTTCCAATACCAGGGGCTAGGGATGTGGCTCAAGCGGTAGCGCGCTCACCTGGCATGTGTGAGGCCCAGGTTCGATCCTCAGCACCACATACAAACAAAGATGTTGTGTCCGCCGAAAACTGAAAAATAAATATTGAAATTGAAAAAAAAAATTTCCAATACCACACATGCACAGGCACAAAAAGTTTAATTAAATATTCAGCAAGACTTGAAATATCCTAAAATTCTCCATATCCAGTATTTTCTTGAGATGGTAAGATTAAAGGAGATTTAAAAATTTTCCTGTGACATATATGTCTTCCAAACTTTCTACAGCAAATGTGAATTACTCTTATAGTAAAAATATATATAAAAATATAATTCATAAGAAATAAGTGCTCTGTAATCTAAGCAAACTAGGTGAAAGATATTTATAGTTTTATTTTTTTACATACATTACACATACAAATTATTAAGCATTAAGAACATTTTGTGACAGTCTTTACAGATTGGTGCATTTGAGCCTAACATAAATTAGATATTGCTTTCCACTGTTGTTGAAACAGTCAAAATCAAGATTGGATTAAAAAAAAAAAAACCCTAGATTGGGTTGCTTCCACTATCAGACATAGCACCAGCCATTACTTGCTGTTTCTTCAATAACCCCATTCCACCCTTATCTAACCCAACCATATTCCTTTATAGAATCACATACCCCTAGTTAGTGGAAAAATACCTCTGGATTTAACATTCAC